CTCCGTTCTCTGCAGTGAATGCTGCGAATGTGACAGTGCGTCTTGTTAATATTTTCCCAATGTGCTGCAAGCTAGATCACACAGGTCTCTAAGATGCTGTCAAAATAAAAATAACAAGCACTGGAGTAGCAGCAGACAATACTGAAATGTTAAAAGAATAAGAGAACAGGCGTCTTATAAGTCAATATGTGGCGTGGTAGTGAGGGAGCTGGTCCCTGGCCCAGTGCACTTAAGGCAAGAGGATTAGACTCCAGAGTATTATTAGAGCTGCTGATTATCCCCTTACTTGATCCGCCTAATGTGAGCTCAGGCCTGTATGTTTAGCAGAAAATTGGAAAAATGTTTGGACTGGGCTCCAGAAAGTGAGATTGCTGGGCTGTGTTATGCTTTGATGCTCTGTTGACTCCAGCATTGACTCTCCCACAGCTCTCTCTCTCTGCTGAACTCATTAGGTCCCGGCCTTTTGTCGCCGCCTCCCCCGCTGTGGGGTTGATGTGATTAATGCACCGCTAACCACCGAGGCCAGAAGCAAGGGCTTGTTTTAGTGCCAGGGAACAGCAAACAAAAGAAAATTGTCTCTGCAAATAACAGAGGAGAACACGGGGGCTCGGAGTGGAACAGATCCTTGACTCTTCCATGAATGCGAGCTCGCCAAGATCTCTTCAGGAGAATTCAGCTGAAAGGGTTCCAATCCATTTGTCTTCAAATATATAGCTGTAAAACCTTTTGTTTTTTTTATGTAATTACACACCCACTACCTCTGACCTTCAGCTTGGGGAGTAGAAAAATCGAACATGGGCTGCTTAATCCAGCCAAGTGATCCCAGGACTGAAAAGGCTGATTTATACTTCGAAACTAGGTCTTCGGCGTGTGTTGCGGTGAACGCAAAGACGTCCCCGCCCCCCTCCGCAGACACTCTGGTGCACCTCTCCAAAATTGTAGGTGACCGCAGACAGTGCCACAGAAAGGAGGCCTGGTTGGTCAAATCTACGTCCGATCTACACTATGCTTATTTCCTGTTTGGTGAACGAGAACGGTCTGAGCTCGGTAACCGAAATAACTGTTGAGTGTAAATGGAAAATAACTGAACTGGACAGTGCCACACACAACTGAACCATGTTAAATCTAGTACTAGTTCAACAGTAGGACTCGTCACGGTTCATCTATGGCTCAGTTCTCTGATAACAAAGTGCATCAGCAGACCGCAGCATCTACTATTTACAGTCAGCTGACTCATTTTGCGGGTTTTCCGGCGTGTTCAGCTTTGTCATTCATAGATCCCTTTACCTGTTTACAACACCAACTTCTTCTCAGCTTATTAACCCTATGATGCCAAATGTATCATATTTGATGCATACGGTTTCTGAAATATTTTGCATCTGACACCTTTTGCATAACTTAATGGTAAAAACTTTGCTCAAAAGCCTATTGTACACAATCAGATATACCTGATAACAGCCAGTAGAAGACTACACAAAAAATATCTTGACTTATCGCATAGTAATAAATCAATAATATCAAAAACGTATTTCTGTTTTTTCTTTTTACATATTTTTGTTAAAAGGGCAAATAAGGAATTCAAACCAAAAAAGAAGTAATTTTCTGTTTTGTTTTATTCTTGGATCGGGCTTTAAAGGGTTAACAATAAATGGTGTCAGAAGCGCGTGGTGTGGCCTGGGATGATGCCGAAATTTGGGCAGAGGACGCTATCTAGGCACAAAAGTTCCTGAATGTTATGGGCGTAACCATTTTTGCGTAATTCCCGCCTTGAGAGCTGTAGTATCATGGACCGCTGATAGGAGGCGAGGAACCGTAGTAGCGTGATGTGTAAATGGTTGTAAGAACCAAGCTCGGTCCGAACTCAGCACGGATTGGCTCCAGAGGGTAAATGGGGCATTTAATGTCATTGACAGGGATCTTCATGTAATGTCTACACAGACTTCTCTGCAGCAGCAGTCTTTGTCTGCTTCATCAGAGACTGTTGTTGTGCTGTTGGCTCTCATCACTCAGTAGTTTAATATTAACGCAGAGACATCACCATCCAACATCATGTTTTTCTAAAGTTTTTTTTCTTTTAAACTAGCTTTATTATTCACGTCTAGTGACAGTTGCATTGTTTATTTCTTCCATAAACAGTGTACTGCTGTATGAGGCATACATTTTCCTTCTGTGTAAGCAGGTTGCTTTGGTGTCCTCAGCCATTCGAACAGAAGTCTGATGAGCGACCCGAGCTAAAACAATCGGATTTCAGAGGGAAATCGGAATTAAGCCGGCAGTGAATGTAGCCTAAAATACATCTCATCAGTTTTGGCTTTGAACTGAAGTGGTTTTGATGTCTTTGTCTTAAAACTTTGTCTTAAAACTGCAACCACACAAAACCCATGTGGCTGCAGGTTTTCTTTCCAACCAAGCAATAGCACACCAGACTCCATTCATCTCATCAAGTCATCATGTTAAGATTGGACTCAGTTGATGAGATGAATGGAGTCTGGTGTGCTATTGCTTGGTTGGAAAGAAGACCTGCAGCCACACGGCCCTTTCTGGAACCAGTTTGACACCCCTGTCTTAAAATGAGCAGTTATTATAGGGGGTACTATATTAAACTATTGTTTTTTTTCAAGTTAATAATGCTTTTTGTGTACTACCCTTAGTTAATTGTTTCTGTATTATATCCTTTCATTTAAATTTTTTTTTTCCATCTCTGTAATGCATTCTGTGTAACATTTGACTGTAGGGGGAAAAAGTCCTAAATATAAAGTTAAATTTCAGGTTATTTGATAATATTTTCCCATCATCCACTTATCAGGTAACCAAATGTACTGCTGCAGCATTTTGTAGCTGCCTGTCAGTTTTTGGTGATCTTATCTTTCTATACTTCTAAGTCTCTCCCGGTTAGATGATCGTTTTACACCTTCTGTTGTATTTATCTCACATCTGCTGTGAATTTTGCTCCTGCAGATTAAACTTTCCTCGTTCTGTATCGGACATTGGCGGAAACTTTGTCACATTTTGGTAAAACTACAATCTTCCCCTGATTGAAATGCATCTGAACCACTCTGGTCCATCCGATGTCTTGACATCATGAGATGAGAAGTTACTGAAGTGTGAGCGTAAAATCTGATAAGACTGGGAACAGGTCTGTTGAATTATGCGCAGCGTCACATTATATTAGAAGCGAGGTCTTCTCTGCTGCTGAATATATTTGCTGCAAGCAGTAAAATGTTGATAATGTCAGGTTAGCAGGACAGTTCTCATACTATCTTGTGGATTTCTGGGTGTTGTGTTTTGACTGCATAACAGAATAGACAAGAGTTACAAAGAAATCTCTGACTTTTTAAACTTTTCTGTTAAACTTTTATATTGATTTGATTGCAGTCTACGTTCTACCACCTGTTTCTTCTGATTAGAAGTGCTAAGCCTAGCCTATGATTGCTTTAGCCTATAGAGGGCGCTGTCACGCTATGATGGAGATATTTTCATGGGCAGTTTCTATATTCACAAGAACAAGAGTAGGGACTCGTGTTCTCGCCAAGTATGCTCTTGAAAAGAACCCAGGAAAGTCTGGACTTGGTGAGAACGGGAGCACGCAGCTTAAATCTGGGTCAACCGGAACAGAAACGTACTGATGATGTCACCACACGCTCAGCTCGTCTGGAGCTGCATTTCACCTCCTGCTATTAATAGTCTCTAGATAATAATAAATTATGACTTTTTTTCATTTAGTTGGGGAATAATAATGAACACAGTCAGAAAAACACAAATCAAATGAACATTTTGCCAAATAAAGCAAAAATATCGCCATCAGAGCCAGCGGTTAGCCTTGGAGGTCCGCTGGTTGCCGCGTCCTCTCAACTTCGGTTTTGTTTTTTTTAATTACACACTAAATCAGTAAATGGGCCATATAGTGACTCTTAAAACTATAATATTCCCGCCTCAAATTATCTTAAAACGTACTTTTATTGAAGAACAGCAATAGAAAAGAAAACATTTATCTTCATACTCTGAGCTCTGTAAGCGCAGTGCATGCTGGGACAGCTGTCAATCTCAAGAATGGAAAAGTCTGCTCTGATGCATGCTGGGTAAAGAGGGAGGGACAAGAACAACATCCGGGGACTTTGCCCGTTCTCCGTTGGGTTCTTGGGAATTGGAACAGTACTAGGGCTGAGGCTGATGACGTTTAATGATTACACAAAAACGCACAAGTACACATATTGAGAAATGGCCGTGGTGTGTTCTGCTCAGAAGTTGTGATTAGAACAAGCAGTGAGAAACCCCAAAACAGGAGTGAGAGAATAAAATGACATGTTGTTTTTGCAGCAGTGAAAGCAATGAAAATTTTTTTTTATTTTTCTTAAAAAAACATCCCACTTCTCTTTCCTCTAACTGGGGACTTTACTGCTACGGAGAGCAGATAAGTTTGAGTCATACTGACTCATCAACATCTATGAAGATTGTTGTCATTGGGACATGGTGTCACTGTGGTGGGATGCATTTCATGATGTTCTTAAAATTAAACTGTAGAATAAAAATAAGGTTTGGTGAAATAAATAAGTTATTGGGAGGAAGGTAAACATTACTTCATATCTTACTCATGCAAACTATGTCTGCAATGTGCATTCTGCAGCAATCAACTGGCCACTTTCAAAGGAATGTCTAAATAGCAGGAAGCAAACAAACCTGGATGACTAATGTTAAAGTGTCTGAATCATATTGCTTTTTGAATAAATGCATTGAATTTATGTCTTTCGTTTGAAAGGATACATTTTCTAAGAGCTTTGCTGCAAAGCTTTCCTTGGCATTTAGGATGGCATTGACGTCAAGCTGAAATTTAGAACAAATTAACCAGAGAAGGCTGATTTTTTTTTTTTGTTGTTAAAATGAGGATTATTGTGTTTATATCAGATTTCATTTTTATACTTTTAGAATTCCTTTTGCTTTAAAGCAGATTCTGGACAATTATTCCACATTAATTTACCTGTAATTTGCTCTTTTCTTTCCAGTGTCCAGGGACATGAAACTCAATCCCCAGCAAGCTCCTTTGTATGTAAGTATCAACAATCACAATAGCTCTAGTGTGCACTTGAGGCAGTTTCTCCAGTGCACCCAGTTGTGTTTCCTCCTCTCACACAAATAAACACCAGTTGTTTACATATTTAAGTGCTTTCACTTTTCCGGCTAGTGTGTCTTCTTTGTGGTGATGTGAATAGGAGCCCATCTGCTGAACCTGTCAGGTCAGCACAGCGTAAACTTTAACCCGCTCTAGTGTGTATTCTATGGAGCTAGAATGGTCTCAGGCAATTCCTCACACTAAGCATGCTTGTAGCGACAGTGGAGAGGAAAAACTCCCTTTTAACAGGAAGAAACCTCAACCAGAACCAGGCTCAGTGTGAGCGGCCATCTGCCGAGGCCGACTGGGGTTGAAGGACACAGAGGCAGATATAGAAAAAGAAACATAGATACAAAAGGCAACTGTCGGATTTGGGTCACTTCAGGCTGCAGTGTGAACGTAGCCATTGACTCGAAGGCAATTCCTCACACTAACCATGCTTGTAGCGACAGTGGAGAGGAAAAACTCCCTTTTAACAGGAAGAAACCTCTACCAGAACCAGGCTAAGTCTGAGCGGCTATCTGCTGAGGCAGACGGGTTCAAGAAGACAGAAGCAGCTCCACAGGCGGCCCCGTCCAGGAAACTGAGCCAGCTCCCATGTCAGAGGATGAAGGAGAACACATCCAGTTAGTCATATTTCCTACTTAGGAGGCATGTTACCGCCAGGTCTGAAAAATGCAAAGCCAAAAAAAAAATAAATTCCGGATCACAATTTTCTCAGTGGGACAAACTAACTCACTCATTTAAACAGAAAATGAAAAGCCTGTAAAGTTTCTTATAATCACTTAAGGCCAGTATTATACTGCTAATTATGCTTTAATTACACATTTGGTGCAATAGCTGAAGTGTTTCGGTTTGATCTCCTTACAAATTGCTCTAAAGTATATGCAGTTGCTCTTGTGGCTCCTGGATAATTTGATGCATATTTAATAGAGTGTGTGTGTCTGTGTGGAAGTTTTGGGATATTTGTGGTTCCACTGCTCTCCTTATCACTAGCAGGGATAGAGGGTACACACAGGAACCAGATATAGGTTATAGAAGTGTGTTCAATGTGAGTGTGCCTGTATTTAACTCATTTACCAGCCAGATAAGCTTATCTGTGATTTATAATCTCTTTCTTTATGGAGACCAGGCAGGCGGTTAAGCCTCATTAGGCGGCAGATTTTAGGAAGGTGTTTGACTCTGCGATGGCTTGTAGTGGTCTGTCTGTGACTGCGATAAACACAAACTGCTCTAGCTCCCTAATTGTTGGAACAAGTCGTTTTCTAAAGGTTGTGGGTAAAGGAGACCTTGATGTTAGTTTGTTACTGTGGTGAATGATGAGTTTGTAGTGAGTCAGTGAAAACGGATACTGAAACGGAGATGGGGGATGATTTTTATGCTGTAGAGGACTATGAAACCATGTGATCTGCAAAGGGAGGGATGGCCTGTAGAAAAAGGAGTTACTTTCAATAACAGGAAGAGCTTCTGCTGTTCTTTGCTTTCAGTAGCCTAAACATGTTATTTACATTTTTGGCATTCGGCCGACAGTACCTTTTAGAGGCGCTAACAGTTTAATGAGCTGGTAGGCATATGGTTACAGAGCCTGCAGAAATATTCATGCCCCCTGGGACTGCACACCTCAGATTTCAGCATGGGTTATTTGGCTAGCAGGCATATGATTTCAAAAAATGGGACATTTATTTATGTTAAATCAATACATCATGTAACTAACATTAACTGCAGTTGGAGCTGCATGTTTATGGGGGTTGGTCTAAAGCATAAGAGCCTCTAGAATAATGTTTTAGAAACTAACCGCGCCTTAAAACTCTACCCAACTTTTCACTGATCTGTCTGCTGTGATCCTTGATGTCTATGATGCTGTTAGTAAACTACTCTCTATTGAACCTCTGAGACCTTTACAGATCCACTGGATTCAAGCCAAGAATAAATAAGACACAGATGGACTGTATTCACCGTCTTGGTGACTCCTGAAAGCAATTTGTTGGACTAGATTCTTTTAAGCATGACTAAGTTAAGCGGGAACTGAAAACGTATGCACATCTTAGTTTTCACATTTCATTTGTAAAAAAAACGTCTCCTTTAGCTTCACAATTATGCATGCCTATGTGTTGGTCTATTACATAAATCCCCCCCCCAAATCATTTGAATGCATGGTTTTAATGCTACAGAGTGGGGAACATTTAAAGAGGTATGAATGTTCATTGCAAGTGGAAGGATGATGAGCCAGAGATTTCAGCCTGGTGTCTGATAGTTTCTTTATATCTGTTTAATGGAGCAATAAGTGAGGAATTTACTGTATAATTAACCAAAACCATCTCATTTGTCCCCCTGGATGGAAATGGCATTCTCTGTAAACAATACAACCTCTGCATCAATGTCTTCATCAAGTTTTTGTCCTTTGTGACCCAGAGGGGCTGCACAGAACAATCTAGGTGACAATTATATGAGAATTTGAAGGGTTATCTAACAGTGCAGTGTTGGTAAAAGAGTAGCCTGAAACATGGAAGTCTAGGCATCCTTAAAGGCTTAAACATACCGGCTGCATATGAGTTTTGAATATCTCTTATCTGATTATTTTACATGTCACATTGACTGCGTACAGAGAGGCTCTGAGTAGGCAGGGTGAGCAGATCTGTGCAGATGTGTCTGTGCTACAAATTAAAACAATTTCCCACATTTGACTTGGATACATTATGAAAAGTTATAAAAAAAAACAAAAAAATACTGGCATATTCTATAAAGCAAAGTCCCACTTAACGAGTCTGTGAAGCATCTCAAACCAGCTCAGATAGAGAATGTTCATAGGCTTATGTTAAAAAACATAATGAGATATATATCTAAAGAAAAGGAAAACCCAGTGGAATGGTTTCTATGCTGATCTTGTTTTTTTTGTGATTCTCAAAGAGGATCTCTTCCTGTTAGATCCATTATTGCTGAATTGCTTCGTAGTCCGACTGAAATAGACCTCGGGTCTGTCTCAGTCAGACCTACGCAAGCCCCCTTGCGTAAAATTGTGTCGGTTTGATCATCCCCATTGACTTTCAATGAGCTCTAAATGTCACAACATTGTCTGACGCGATTTTCTGCCAGATTGGACCCAAAATCGGATTCGGTGTGTTCTGGCCTTAAAGTCGTAGGGAAACAGCTGTTCCAACTGAGAATTTCTGAATTCTCCCGAGTGGTGCCTGACTTTACATGATTGAATTAAGTGAATGTGATTGGTAGTTTATCAAGAGGATGGGGTTGTTGTGGCGGAAGGTTCGCAAGCAAGTTTGATTGAGGCTGGTTTTCTCTAGTGTTGCACCGATGCCATTCTTGGCCCAGATACCGATACCTGGCTGTGCAGTATCGGCCGATACCGATACCATAATAATGTAAAATAATTGCCATCATGGCTTCATGTCAAGCTGCTGCCTACCTCTGTGAAGCAGGAAAAAATCTAAGACAAAGTGAATCCAGTAGAACTTTTTATTGCCTACCAGGAATGGGTGACAATAGTTGAAGAAACTTATGGCTCTCAAAATGGTATCGGAACCCTATTTGTTGGTACTCACCGATACCACCATTTTAGTGCAGTATCTGGGCCCCGTCCGATACTGGTATCAGTATCGGTGCAACACTAGTTTTCTCTAACAAGTTAGCAACTTAGTGCTAGTAGGTTCCACAAAATATGCCGCTTAAACCGATACAAACTAGACCAAACTCGCACCTATGATCGCCAATGCCTGCTGGAGCTACGGTCACAAAATGTTTTAAATACCAACATTTTTGGCCGTTTAAAAAGCTGCGGAGTTTTACGGAGGGATGTCAACAAAACAACAGGGAAAAATAACGGACGGAATAAGAGATGCCAAAGACGGAGGCTGCAGAGGGGGGCTAACTGCGAAGCAAAAGGGAAACCCCCACAGATCACCGCTTCCATCAATCCTGCTCTCCAACATCCGCTCATTGGAAACCAAAATGGATAATTTCTGACTCCAACTCTTTAAAAGAGTAGATTTGTAATTGCTGCGCCATCATTCCGATGGAGTCTTGGCTGCGTCCAGCAGTACCGGACGGTGCTGTTGGCCTGGGGGGGCTTATGCTGTACCGCGCCAATAGAAACTAAGAGCTCTGAATGAATGGAGGCTCCTCTTAGACTGTTTCTAGACAATCTTCAGCATCTAGAGGGGAAGCACAGTCCTCTGCAGGTGAAAATGAGGAGAGCACTCTAGATGCTTACCTGCCAAATACTGAACCATCCTCAGCCGGCTCCTCCTGGCCCGGCCCCGGCCAGCTTCCAAACCTTCTTCAGCATCGTCTGTCGCTGCTAAACCTTCCGATGGCACCGCTGCTGCTTCAACCACATCAGCCTCTTCAACCCAGGGGGCTACCACTCTCACAACATCGTCATCCTCATCCTCTTCTTCCCCTGAGCCAGGAGAAGCGAGTGCTTCAGGAGCTGGAGGCAGTAGTAGCAGCTCAACAACAACTGCTGCTTACCTTATCAAGGCTGCGTTTTGAAAAATGAAATATCTAGAGAGCTGTTATGAAAGAAATTTCTTTTTGTCTACACTTCTGTATACAAAATGACAAAATAAATCTAAGTCTATACAGCATGCTAACCTTTAACTGGAAATACTGCAACTCTTTTCTTAGTTTCCAGAGCTTTCACTCACACATTTAGCTAAATTTAATAAATCCCCCAAAATCTGCTCCTGCTTAAAATCTTCATGTAAAATAACATTTTTCAACTCAAGAGTTCTCAAAAACATTAAGCGCCACTCATGGATGAGCTTTTCTGCCTGATATGATCAGGAGAGCTAGCCGTCTAAGCATCCCCACTGACACGTTGGCTGCCTGAATACTGTGGGTCTAATCTATGGATTGTTTTTGTCCACCTGCATATAAATATCGAGTTTTACTATAAATCATTTATGATTTAATTTCAGCCTGTAGCTCACCTGGACAAACCGCAGCAGGATGTTACATGCATACTCAGAAACAGGGGGTTGGGTTCGTAGCCTCCAACTGTGCTTTTCATGTTGCTAAAGAGCTTCTTGCTTCTTGCTGAATCTTGATGATTAGCAGGTCAATACCTCAGCAGGTCACTTTGCTCTCCGCTGGTTTTAAGTACTTAACGAAGTAATGTGGACATCCATTAACACACAGGCAGACTTTAAATAGCTTTTAAACTGATATTTTCTATGTGTCATTTAAGCCAGACACATAAGGGTCACGAAAATGTCCTTTTTTTGCACATGATTATAGTTTTCAGGTTCAGCCGTAGCAGTTTCTGTGTGGACGGCTGTTTTTACATGTCTGTTTTGCATGTTTTGCAAAGATGGTCGCCTGTGGAAGTCTGTTTCCTGCAGTTGCCAGCAGATGTTTCGCATCTCTTGTGTCTTCGCCTCCACCCAAACGCCTGCCAACAAAAGGACTCTTAGTGATCTTATTCGGCTGACTTTCTTCTACGCTTTCACTTCTGTTTCTTTTAGCACCTCCTCGGCCCCGGCTCCTATTACCCAATATTGATTTCATGAATCTTACTTGTTAAATCAGTTTTCAGGTGTTTTCATTTCAGAGAAAATTCCTTATTGTGTTATTTATCATGGGTCGATAGTGATTTGGACAAAATGTGAGACTGCTGAGTTGCTGCAAGAAGTCCAAGCAGCTGCTGCACCGAATATAACAAGTCGGTATTCCGTCTGAAGTAATTTGCCACGCACTTTGAGCGGAAGAGAGAAAATCATTTCTCCTTTTGCTTCTCCTTTGTTCGTTGCAAAAATGTGGAACTTATTTCACACCAATGTATTTTCATTTTCCCATGGAATACAAAACTGCCAAAGTCACTGAGGTACCAATTCACTCTGGAGCAGCAAACCCTAATTTCCAGTCGGAGCTGAGGATAAGAGATGAGTTTTTAATAGAGAGAATGTCATGCCTGCTGGCTTTCACAGGTCCACAACTCATTTACTCCAATTCCTCATCTCTCCTTGTTAAAGGCGACACGCTCAGAGTGCTGCTAAACACGCACCTCCTTGCTGCAAGGCGGTTTCCATGGTTCTGGCTTTCTGAAAGTCACTCCAGGCTGCTTCTCAGCCTGTGGCCTCTGGGTCGACTTTGAACATGTTTCCTCCACTCTCAAACTGTTCTGCAGCTTTTCTGGCCTACTGGTCCCAAGACAGCTGGTTAGCCTCTCTGCTGCCTGCAGACTGTTCTCCCCCCAGAAGCTACCACTTTATGAGGAGGAGGAAACACCTTTAACCCTGTGAAGCTCAGGCTGCCTTTTCGAGCTGCCGATGTTAGGTGAAAAAGCTGTAACAGCACTCTGAGTAGCTGGTGAGACATCTCCCTAGCTGTTGTCCCCAATCGAAAACAAAGATGAGATGAACAATAGTGCTATTTTCTCCCCGTGATGACACAAAGTCATTCTAATTATCCTGCCTGGGCCTTAGTTGCCTTAGAAATAAAGCAGGCAGCATGAGTGCATAAATATGCTTTGCAATATTTACAGTCTTACAGTTTAACTGTTGAGTAGTGCACACAAATTAACTGACCATGGATTTTCTATTTTCTTTTTAAATGACCTGCTGTGCCCCAAACTGTTAATGCAGAGGAGACAAATGGAGTGGCTGTCTGTTAACTGCTAATCTGAGCTGCCGATTCTTTTTAAACTGTTTGTTCCCGCCCACATGCGTACAGACACTTTTATTGATTAATTTTTTTTGTAATCAAGCCTGGACTATTTTTTTTTTTTAATGCAACAAACCAGAGACAATGAGAGAAAATTTGCTCTCCCTAAGGAAACGCTATGAGGAAGGACTGGGAATTAAACAAAGTTGTATTTGGAGAATAAACATACCATTATTTAAGGGGGCTAATCATGTACTGTGACTAAAAAAAGAAAAGCAAACAAACAAAAACACAAAAATGTGTATTCAGACAAAACCATATACGATATTGGGGTTGCTGGTTCAAACCCCAGCTTCAGCTTCAATGTAGCTTGCCACCATCAGAGTGTAAATTGGAGATGTTATCAAATAATCGACATATGATAGTTTGTCATACAATGGTTTATATCAGAGGTCACAGATTAGTGGACCACTGTCCAGATCCGGACCCACCTGCTGACTAATCCGGACCCAACCTGATTTAAAACATTTATAAATTTTATATAAGTTTAGATTTTAAAATGAGAAAATGTTCTATTTTTTTCTATTTTTATTTAAAAATTAAATGTATAAAATGGATGCATAAAAACCTCATTTTATTTCAGTGTTAAATTCTGTTTAAGGTAACAGATTATAATTAAAAATGTCTTAGCACCTTTAGTTGTTGATGATTTTCTTTATTCGGACCCCCACTGATTTTTAATTGGTTACCCCTGGTTTATAAGATTAAAATTAGTTCCATCTGATTAACTGGTAATATTTGCTTAAAACATTATTATTATTTTTTTTAAGTTTACTTTATACTTTTATACTTTCAGTAGTTTTTGGAGCGCATAGTTGTTCACTTTTACTTAAGTAAAAAGGTCAAGTTGATATTTCAACTTTTACCAGAGTGTTTTTAATCTGCAGTATCTATACTTCTGCTTAAGTAACCAATGTGTGAAGTTTTGACACCACTGCTCCTGGATCATGTAGAAGCACGACTATAAAGAAAGTTTAACCTGAGCTTAATCAGAAATGATATTTGCACTTTTCTTTACATCTGTGGAAATCAGATGATGAAATGAGGTAACTTTAACATTATGGATAGCTTTGATGATGAGCAAGGTGGTAAGAAAATATGAAAACATGTCACGTAATCCAAGTCATAAAATCATTTTGTCCGTCTGCATCAATCTGAAAAACACTCTCTGCTATTGTGGTGTTGTCATTCTTTGATGTTATGCGGATCTTTCTGTGGGTTTATTGTGAAGCATGAATAATAGGAGCCAAAACAAATGTTTTTCTTGTTCCTGCCACCTGGAGAACAAGAGTAAGTTTTTCGTTGCCCCGGAGAGTCTAGCAAGCTGTAGTGCTTGGAGTTGATCACATTCTGTTGATCTTTCTCCACCTTTCTCCGCCTGCTTTTTGTGATCTGACAACAGGCTCTTAAGGGATTTAGGTCATTTTTCTAGGCACTTATGTTGTCGAATATTTCAGATAAGCAAAATGTTCCTAAATTTCCTTAGTTTAGGGACACTAAATCAGGTAATATGTTGGAATATTTGGCCTGATTAAGCTAAACGTAGTATAGTGGCCACCTATACTCAAACCTATATTAGTTTACATAACTTTGTTTTTTTCCTGTTTCATTTTAACATCAAACTCTTGTCTGCTTGGGTTAATCGATAAGTATTTAAGGTTTTGGTTGATTTTCTGTAAAGAAAAATTGGATTTAATGACTGAACAGTGATTATTTCACCACATCTGTAGCTATGAGAAGAGCTACGTTCACACTGCAGGCCTTGATGCTCATTTACGATTTTTTGTGAAATCCGATTTTTTTGCGTTGCCATTCACATTTCCAAATAAATGCGACTTTTATGTGGTCTCCTGTGTGAACTGCAGTCATACAACGCAAGTGTCCCGCATGAGCAGTTGAGTACACAATGACATCACAGGCCAGCGTGTTCTGTGTTTACAGAAGTAAACATGAATGGTAGTGCCAGAGCGCATCCTGCGATCTTTCTCAACCATAAAAACCCAATCTTTTCAAGATGGTTAAACATAAATACTGCTCTCCACATCATCGTCCACCATGGTTGTTGTTTTTCTTGCCGCTTCTTCATAGCAAGACCAAGAATAGTGACCTTTGTCGGATATTAATGGCGTTCAGGTCGGATGAATGCGAACTGGCCGTTCAGACACAGGTCGCATTTGAAAAGATCAGATTCGTATCGGATTCAGGACCACATAGCCAAGTGGCCTGGGTCGCATTGGAAAAAATTCGGATCTATGTTGTTCAGACTGCCATGAAAAGATCAGATCCAGGTCACATATGGGTCAAAAAATCGGATTTGTGTCACTTCAGGCTGCTGTGTGAACGCAGCTAAGATGCGGGCCCCTCTGCTATGTGGGATTTATTTTTGATCTAAAACTGGATCTTTATACAACATTTTAAAAACTAGTATCATTTTCTTCCTTCTAGTGTGATACAATGTAATCTCTTCCTTTCACTTTGTCTCCCTTTCGTCTCAGCAGGGTCGGTGTGTCGTCACAGTGCAGCTTTCTGATGAAGAGCTGGCTGCAGATGATGAGGGCGTGGACTACTTTCTGCTGTTTGCCGGCACAACACAGAGGCATCTAACCAGCACCCTGAGGAGCAGCCATGACACCTTACAGGCATTATGTCCCGGTGAGACACCTCCACAGCAATCCCCTGAGTCACCCAGTTTTTTTAAACCGGCAGAGAAAGACTGTAATCAAGGCCCCTGGGATGTGTCATCAGTGCCGCCTTTGATATTGCCAAATTTAATAAATAAAGCTGCCTTCAGTAGAATTGAGTGGATGAAGAAAAACTGAAATCAGGATTATGTAAAAGGAATTGATGTATTATAAATGGATTTAATGTGATTCCCCAGGCAAAATACAGGGTGATTACTAAATGGGGGAAAAATTATACACGGTTAATAAAAAAATTTAGCCCTGTTTACTCTGACTAACCTAAATAAAGTGTTCTGCTTCAAATGAATTAGAAAATAATGATGGATATCATGGTCCCTCTGCCTAAAAGAATCCATCCAGAACGATTTAAGAGAAGCATCCAAACGGCTTACAGTAAAGGCTGATTTATACTTTGAAACTAGGTCGTCTGCATAGGTGTTGCAGTGAACGCAGGGACGTCATCGCCCCCTCCGCAGACACCCTGCTGCACCTCTCCCAAATTGTAGGTGACCGCAGACAGAAGGGCCTCTGATTGGTCAAATCTATATCCTATCTACACTATGCGTGTCTCCTCTTCGGTACCTTACCGGCTTGTTTTGGTTGTATGACCGCCATTGTGGAAAACGAACGAAACGAAGATGGACCAGCTAGAAGAGCGAGGTCAACCTGGATCCCCACTCTTTTTCGCCCTCATGTCCCTCCGTTGTCGCACAAACTTGCCCCAACTTCCTCACCGCCTCAGCTAGTTCCTGATTGTTCCTCTTGCGTTGTGGCATGGAATAACATAGCGCAGACCACGCTTCAATATTAAGCATAAATCAAAAATATCTGCAACAAGCTTACTATGACATGCTGCTGGTGGAGGAAAACCAGCCCTTAACTCTGGATGAGGCCTTGTGGAAAACATGAATTTTCCAGACTAGGACAACTAATCGTGATTGGATTACATTCAAATGCTTTATGGCAGGAAACATGGTGGATAGTGGCGTTAGCAGCATGACGCTGTGAAAATGGTTTTGTGCAACTGGGAGTAAAAAGGTGGTCAGAGTTGTTAGGGAGATGGATAGGGCTAAATACAGGAAAGATCTGGAAAAAAAGCTGCTGGATACTGCAGATGACTTGGACTTGGATTAAAGGTTCACCTTCCAGCAGGACCCAAGAGCTGGGATGAAATGGTTCAGCTTTTCTGACCTTATTTTTTATTTTACTTCTGACATAACTAGAATGATTTAAATGTATCAGATGTTTGTCTGAGGAATTGCTTTCAGAGTAAATAAGCAGCAGCTTTAAACAGCACCTAGATCAAGAGGCAAAGTTCACCGTTTGCACAACTACCTGGCAACTACCTTTTTTTTTAAAGCAACAGGCGATATTTTTCAGCCTATATTAGCCAAGGTCACTGATGAAATCTTGGTAACATCAATACAGTGTAATCAGATATGGTCAGTATGTGTCCTTACATAACAAACCTTTATCCCCCAGTTTTCTTTGTATTATTTCTGGAACCAGTTCTCGATGGAAAAATAATGACAATGAATAGCAGCATATAACTGGTAATATAGCGAGTAGTGGATTGTAATGTGTAGTAAACAAGTAAAACATTAAAAAAATGGGATGAATTATTTCTCTCAAAAAAGAATAACCTTTAAAATTACTTTATAGTCTGACATACTGTCAAAGTTGAAGCAGTTTTAAGGAGTTTGGAGATTCAACAAATCTGTTGATCTGTATTGACTGTTCCTACGTTAGCTGCAAACAGCAAAGACTGGATCTCCTCATATTTTTCCACATTTAGCAATAACCCATGTTGAGAACAACACAAAATATGAAGAGCCAGAGGAGGAGACATAGCTGAATTAGTTTGCCTCTTCCTGCAGGTAAAGAATAAAGACAGCACATGACGAACTGTTATCTTATTAAGAGCTCAGCTGAATTACAGGCGTCTGTTGGGGGTTGTGGAGAGGTGTTACTTTCCTTTCACAGATTAGCTCCGCTGCGCCGCCTCCTCCGTCAGGATGCTCTGGACTCTACGGGGCCGAGCTTGTAAACGGTCAGAATGATGCGGGATGGGTTTTCTTGGAGGAAAAAATGCCAGAGATTCAATGAAACTCTTCTGTCTAAAAGCCTTTGAGCAAGGCAATAACACAACCTTGACTTGCTGTCAATCGTCCGAGTTTGTTGAGCTGTTAGGTGGAGGTCTGACATGCTAAATCACACGGGGAATACTCTCAGTTCAGGTGGAGCTTCAAATGATGTAATCTACCTGAAGTAGGCAGGCTTTCAGCTGTGTTTCTATTCACTGAGCAAAGGCTTGTTTTTTTTCTCACACTTTAGAACAAATGGATATCTAATATGATTTAAAGTCGTAGGGAAGTCATATTTTAATGTCAAATCATTCTGGCTTAAACATCTATATAAATGTACTTTATCAGACCATATTGTCCCAAAAGTTAAAAAATTTCTATTTAAAATAAAAAAACCTGTCTTAAAATCTGTGGGTTTTTTTTCCGTTATCTTCTGCAGGCCAGTTAGTCATACGTCAGCCTGAACACATAAATTCGGCCAATCATATATCAACAGACATCTGTCAATCAATTTTTTTGGTCATAGCATCTTGACTCGTATGTTGCTGCTAACATACGTAAAGGTTGAAATAAGAAATAAGAATCATTATTTCCTTTCCCATTGAGTTGCGTCCTAGTGTTCACGGGGATGGACGTCTGTGTCTTCAGCAGGCGTAGAGCTAACAGAACTGGCAGCGTTGCGAGGCAAGGGCTCAAACATGTACGGCTGGAAGCCTTCTACACCAAACCAAGCTTCTGCCGCCCTGGCGTCCTCTTCCACAACACCTTTGTCCCCGATTTCTTCCTCTAAATAAAAAATGGATGATGGAGGAGACTCATCCACGACCTCCGACACTAAACTCTCCTCCTCTTGCATGTTTCCTCTGTCCATAGCGTTCCTTAACAGTGTCGTTTCTAAGTCACCAATTTAGCGCTACTTGGTCCCAATGGAATTTCCCATTGGGAACCTACTAGCACTAAGTTGCTAACTGGTTAGCAAGATGCTTCCGACAAACCAGCCACAATCAAACTTGCTTGCGAACCTTCCGCCACAACAATCCCGCCCCCTTGATAAACTACCAATCACATTCACTTTATTCACTTGTGTAAAGTCGGGCACCACTCGGGAGAATTCGGAAATGCAACGTTTGGAATGGCCGTTTCCCTACGACTTTAATATGACTTATCATAACAACAGCTAAAAAAAGCTCCAAAAAAAAACAACATTCTTAAAAAACTTTATTACTGCTGTTGCAAAAAAAACCCAATAATAATAATAATAATAATTAAAAAAAAACCTACACTCCTGTGCAACCAGTAAGGACATTTAGAGGATTCAGAGGTCATGAGAGCTATGCCAAGAGGAATACAAATGTCTACAAATGAAAAAGCATGAAGTCAGAGTGGGGGAGCAGAAAAAACTTCAGGACAAGTAAAGACCCACTGGGGGGTAGAATGTCTCAACCTCAATTAGAAGACTCGTTTGGGATGATATTAAAGGGATAGTTCGGTATTTTTGACATGAATCTGTATGGCATCCCCATCACCAGTGTCATGCAATCACACTGACTTACCCCTGGCAGCGTCCTCTGAGCAGAGTTCTCGTCCAGTTTTGGTCAAGCCGAAAGTAGTCCGGCAGGTTTGCTAGACCCAGCGAAATAAAACGTTTCTCTTCCCAAAACATTATGTGTTCAAAAGAGCGATATTTTTGCATCCCAAAAACGTTGTAGTGGAAAAAGTCACACGTCGTTATCACTTGGTCCTATTTTCTCTCTGTTCGTATCAGTGCGCGCCGTCATTCTGACAGCTAGGGCCTACTAACCTGACAACAGCCAGATGCATGTCTCCCTCCGCCTAGCTCCTAGCTGGGCGGAGGGAGACATGCATCTGGCTGTTGCTGAGCTTGCTGTAACGAACTATCCCTTTAATGCCTTTAAAAATAAATAAATAAATACTTTTTGCCAATTGTCCTCTTATTCACCAGTGTGCTGTGTCTGTTTAAAAATATTTTTTTACAAAAACGGCTGCAACACATCTCTCCCCAATCCGTCCTGAATGAAAGGGTGCAAGAATGACATTGGTACGACTTATTATGCCAGAGTTACAAACACAACATCATACAGGTGGTTAAGCCAGGAAAGACACATCGCTGCCTCTTTCAAACTGCTTGATGTACAAACATGAAACTTGGTATATATCATCATCCGACCTGTCTAGCGCTGAAGTAGAAGGACATTTTTAGATATCATGTATGGTTTGGCTGTGCAGCGAAACCATACATGAAATTTCCAATTAAAATCTTTCAAAATGACCCGCTTTTTTACATCATTACCATGGCAACATCATTTTTTGTGCTTTGTGAGAGTTGGCATAATCATGTTTTTTTTTTTTTTAATTTGTTTTTTTTTTATAAAAAAAAATAAAAAAAGATATTATTCCTAAGTTGTAATATTTTAATAAAATATTATTTCTTCATTATTCAGTTATATAAAAATAGAAAATTATTTAACCTTTATTTTGAAATACTTCAACATTGAATATTTATCATTAGTATGCTCAAACATTTCACCTAACTGTAAGGCATTTGGTCATTCTAATCAACTGTGCAGAATTTGCATAAGCAGAAAGGTTCTGATTAGCATGGGATGTTGTTAATTTGCCAGAATCAATTTAAGTTGGATGCATGTTTAGGAAGATAAATAATGCTGTTATTAGTTTTGCTATTTGTGAGTTTGGATTTATTCCAGTTCTGCAATTTTGAATTGGTTAATATATGATGAATCATTTAGTTTAAATGAGTCGGTGCCTCACAGTTTGTTTGCAGAGTTTCCATGTTCCATCTGTGCTCTTTGTTTTTAGTTTTCTTTCCAATGCTCAAGTTTCCTCCAAACAGCCTGGGAATAAGCATGTCGGACTAATCGGTGATTCTTGGCGTCTTCAGTTTGCCGGATCACATTAATGAACTGACGTCGGTCGTCACTGGAACTCTAGAAATGTTGTTGTGAAGGGAATCACTAAAGTGTCCCTTAGTGCCATGCAAGTGTGACAGGGGGCAGCTTAAAACAGAAGCCAAGAGCGTTTTAATTAAAGTCTTCAGAGGATGTGATGAATTCAGCTTTAATTCTCTTAATATTTCCACACTTTGTCAAAAGATTTATTGCAGAGGAAAGTAAGTGAGGATCATTTACTTTTCTGCAGCATCTACCTTGTTTTCATCACTTGATTAAAGCAGGCATCCCCAGCATCTACAGGCTGCATAAAACACATCAAATGTATCATGGATTTTTTTCTCTTATAAAACTGGTTATGATTGAAAAAAATCTCATGTATCGTTATTAAATAGTTCTAGCCTAGTTTCTTAAAAATGTGTTTTTAATTTCAGTTTCTTAATGGTGCATTTGAGGTTTCAGTATATAATTGAATACAACATTCGTTTCCTGCAGGTCTTTTCTCAGATTTAAATTGTTGATACAGTGTCAAATGCGTACATGCATCTGCACTAACAGGTTTTAATGTCCCATGGAAACTTCTAGAGATCAAACAACTTCTAGAGCAGAGGTCACGGATTTGGACCAAACCTGCTGGCTAATCTGGACCCAACCTGATTTAAAACATTTAAAAATTACAGTATGTTGTCCGACGGCAGTGTCTAACTTCACTTGCGCTGCTTCTCCAGTTAATATGGTAAAGCCTTCCAAAGCGTCGGGACCAGGCTCCATCCCCAGACCTTTACAGGTTGATGATTTCTAGTTTAACTCTGACTGGAAGGAGGAGCAATCCTCCCATCAGAAACTGTAGTGCTCATTAAAACTCATTGGTTTCTTAACTGATACGTGGCGTTATAAATTTAATAAGTGTTTTTACCCACTTTGCACCATGCACCACTACCATTGGCATAAAATGTATACGAAAAAACAACTGAAGGCTTGAAAGCCTCAACATATCTAATACCTTTGTGAAAAGATTGCTGAAACTTTCTCTTTGAACAATAAAAGTTTTCAGGGCTCATTTGGCATACTAGTATGAAAATGCAAACTTTATTCTTTTTTCTGATGAAGATTCTCAGTCATCCAGGTCATGACTATGTCTATAGACAGGTTTCAGACATTACAGGCTAACAATGGAACCAAACAACCTACTCACCGGTTACCATTTGCTTGTTTCCAAGCAATACAAGGCCTTGTCTATATAAGACTCAAACCCACTGCGGATCCAGACATTTGAATTGAGAAAGCTTCCTGGAGAGGTGGCGAAACATCTTCAAATCCTGGAAACCAAGTCCAGTGGATATTTTTTTAACTTTTACGGAATTTATGCTTTTTATTTTCAGTTTTAAAGCAGCATCTGTTTTTATGGACACACAACAGCACAATAAGGTTCCAGCTTATTATGTGTGGAGCCTAGAACGTTCTTGGCTTGTTCCTGGCAGCTCTAACTAATGTTCATATATCTGAGAGTGACAGCTTGGGTGAGATGGTGGAAATGTGCATGGGGTTAGGGCAATGATCCTAAACACACGTCTGATTCTGCAATGGAGAAAGCAGACTGCCAGCTAGAAATAAGCCATAAGCTTGTTGACCCAATTAAGACTGTGGTTTCCCTGGAGCGTACCGTTTTACTAAATATTAGAGCACAGAAAATAGACATGGTCAACATTATTGCTTTCCCACATTTAATGACAAAAAACCCCAAAATTGTCACATATGAACAAAATAATAAATAAAAAAGTATGAAAATGAAAACTGGAGATGAGATGTTACTTTCCATCATGCTTCAACAGAATTATATATATATATAAAAAAAGACACTCCAGTGATTTGGGTGTGCAAAATCAAAGCACAGGGGATGAAACTTTTTTCTTCCTCCATTAATATGCAGACCAAGTTGTAATAAACATAAAACACAAAAAGGGGAGGATATGCAAATGGAATAATTTTTCAAACCTGGAAATAATCAGTCTCAATATTTAGCAAGTCTTCAGATAAACAACAAAACATAATATTAATAGTCACCAGAGAGCACACACCTGAAAGTCATCATCTTTTTCCAATCTAATGTTCCTTAAGAGGATCTTTATGTAGCATAGGTGTTTTTTGTGAAATTATTATCGGCCTTCCTTGCTTTGTAATATTTTCGGTCAATGAGATGTTATGAGGAGTTAGGTGAGAGAAATCCAGCTGTTTAGAGAATAACCTTGTTAAAAATTTTCTGTCAGAAAAGAAGAAAAAGTATTTTTTCCAGGTTTTATGAATGATTTTAAATCTTTTAAACGTCCAGACCTTTTTGTTTCTTTTCATGTTTGTAGCATTGTCAGACACTTATTTAAATGTAACTATAGATAATAATCCTCATTAACATCCTTGTTAGTTTTTCATTACTACCTCTTAGTTATTATTACCTGCGACAACCTGTCTTAAAACTTCTTTCTACTTGGTTGGTGCTTGGTTCCAGGTACTTAGAGATACACTTCCATACAGAAAGCACATATTTTTATCATCAGCTACCACATAAATAATTTAATATGCATAAATCAAGCGGAACACAATGGCGATAGCTGTACTTCTCTACTTGTGAAAGCAAAAGCTGTCGGGCTCTTTTTGGCATCAAGACAATTATAAAAAAATAAAAATTCTTTTTCTTTTCTGACCTTTCTACTACCAGCAGCACATGGAATTTGCTCATTTAAATGGAGAAAACTGAACGTGTCTACAAGTCTTCCTCATTCCAGATGTTTTGTAGATCACCTGCAACGCCCCCATTTCCTGCACATATGTTTTCTGGTTCGACCATGCGCATGAAAACTTCCGAGCACAACTGTAAACTGGGATTTTGTATTTCCATCTTGTATTTGTTTTTCTAAGGTTGTTAAATGCCTCTGCTTATATTAATGGATTATTGTGTTTTCATGATGGTTATGTTGAAAATGGCCAAAAAGGGCTAAAAATGCTGTTTTAATTCTTGAGCAAGTAGCTGGGTAGGTTTAACTATTTGTGTGGATAAAATCTTAGAAGGTTTCTAATGTATAATTTTGTTTCATTTAGTTTTCTCCCTCTGATTTCTCCCTTTTTTTTCTCTCCTTGTATTGAAAAGCTCATGACTGCTGTGAGGTGGTGTTGGTCACCTTATGTTCAGCCACCCAAACTACCAGTGGGAGCTCGGAGGAGCCAGCCTCCTGCCTGGCTTGTGTGGCTCCAGTGGCTGAGCATCCATTCAGCTTTGTCCAGGATTTGGCTTTTGACATGGCCCAGTTTTTGGTGGGTATTCCTTTCAGCTTTCATTATAGTATCTTTCACAGCATTGTTCATTTTTCTTTGACATTAAAACCCAAAAGCCCTGATGTCTCACAGCGATACTCAATCACTGAATTCTGTTTTATTCTGTTCAAGGTCTGTTTGAAATCTAACATTGGTTGTATTTTTATTGAAGAGAAAAGGATTCTGACTCTCATATGTTCTTCTAGAACATTATTTTCTTTTGAACATTTTTAAAGCGGAACAGGATAATCCAGCTGTAGCTACAAATTGCACCCTCATGGAAATGTAACATCCTAAATGTATGCCTTTCGTTATTCCGAGGCGTCTAGTTAATGTCCAATATTATAGAAATAACATAAAATAATCTCTCCCTCCTAAAACCTGAGTCATCTCTCTAATCACCTTCCACATAGGTGAGCGCAGCAGGCCGAGCTGATGGCCTTGATGGGGCCCTGCTCCTGGACGAGTGTCAGATTCCCCTGCAAGAGTGTGAGCGCCTGGATGAGAGCCTGGCACTGGCCCTCCACCACCTCCAGTTGCCTCCAGGATGGAGCCTACTGGGAAGCAAACCGGCCAACAGCTCTGGTGAGTGAGGAACACAATTACAGTTTTTTAAAGTATTCATCTACTTGATTTTCTTTTTTGTTTTATGCATTTTGGGAATTTCAGCCACAAACTTATCTTAATAAAATGTTATGATAAAACAACATTTTATACTTGGACATTAAAGCAGGGTTTTCTAAAATAGTTAAAATAATCTGATGTTCAAGCATGCTTAATATCCCTGCAATAACATCTGCAAGTGCATATTCAGGATTATCTATCCATCAGATTTGCACATTTAAGGGCCCAAGATGTTGGCACATCATGTTTTTTTTTTTTTGCACACCAGCTCGATCTAAGCCACGCCTCTATTTCTTGTTCTTTTTAAAGATTCTTAGTCACTTCTTCAGCAGTTTTAGTTCCTATATATTGTGTCAATGGGTTTAATATTTATGTTTGGACGAAGAGTTTCCAGTTTAACTTCCATCATACAGGATTATGTTACAGCAAAAATAGTAAGGATGTTTTGGTTAATTGGTGTCTTAAATTTATGTTAGAAGGGGCATGGATAAATTAAAGAAACTATCATAATAATAAAAAAGTCTTTTTTTTTTTTTTTTTTTTTAAGGCCAGAAGAAAAAAAAAATCTAGTTTTTTAAGGCTGTACAGCACAACCTCTAATAAAAATATTGTTCACTTTTGTTTTTTGTTTTTTTTAACCAAAAGCTTCATTACTGTCGATAATCTAAAATAAGGCGGAAGTTTGAATGATGCATTTTTTCTTCCAATTAGCAGTAATACCATCTGAGTTAGTATTTGGCTTTTCAGCAGCACCCCATAAAACACTGACGTGTTCTCTGTCTGTTTTTGGCGTGATCAACATTAAAAAGAAATGCTGGCAGCTACTTAACTGTTGGATCTATAGGGTTTTTCTGTTTCATCGCTGTACTTGGGGAGTTGGGACAGGGAGCTACCTTGATGATGATCCCAGTCATTTCTGTTTGCTGGACTAAAGCTTCATTCACCTGGTTTATTTTTGGCCATTATGAGCAGATGGAAAAGTGCAGAAAGATTTCTGTATGTTCACAAACTGTAACATGGATCACAAAGCTGCTGGTCCAAGCCCCAAATTTAAGTATTCATTTCACTTTCACAATGACTTAAGTTGAGATTAAAGTTTAGAAAATCCTCAATGTGACTCATAACTCATTGTAACCATTTGTTAGGGATAAAACAGGAGAGCGATAGAAAATGAGGTGTAGAAATTCACCGGAAGGAGTTAATTCCAAAATGGCTGCCACTGGCAGAATAAAAGAGGCGGTGCCTCAGAACAGTGATTAAAGGAAAAGTCCGGTCAGCAAGGTCCTTTGTAGGTATAGATAATGATCCATTGGTTATTCCTTAGGATTACTAAGTCTGGGAGCGGCAATTTTTGCCCAAATACAGTAAAGCCTCACTCCTGACATCTTCCAGCAGTGACGTCACGGTGCAGTAAGCCTAGCGCCATTCTCCCCGCTTTACAAGCAGAATCAATGGGAACTACTAGACACATCTGCAATCAGCAACAGTTATTGAAGGTTTCCAGAGGACTTCACCATTGCAATTCACCAGAGCTATAGTGAAACTGACAATGCCCACGTGCATGGCAGCTGGATGTTGTAATGCATCAGGTGAAAGTAAAAACAAAGAGTTATTTCACCTTTCCGATTCCTGATCCTCCACGGACGGGTTCGCCGTTGGATTGCTAACTGGAAGAGGGAGGATTTGCCATCGAACTTCTGGCCAGAGAAAAATCACGTAATATGTAGCCAACATTTGGAAGAAGAATTTTTTCAAGATGACTTGGATAATAGCGCGTTGTGAAAATCACCAGATACAGCACTGGGACTTGATCAACAGCCGATACCGCACCATGACGTCACAAACCAGTAGGTGGCAGTAGTGTTCTTTGACAAACATGGATGCCTCCAGTAAAGCACATTGAAATTAAATAAATCTTAATCAAAAACACTTATTGTTTATTTAACAATATGTAATAATTTCACATTTCAAGTACTTTCAGAAGTTTGAATTCTGAATATGACCGAAATTTTTCCTTTAATAAAACCTCAGCGTTGAGCAGGTTACATGCTTCTCAGTAATTAACCTACAAAACAATCCCTCTACAGAGATGCTGCAGATTGTCAGGATGGTTCTAGATGCAGGATAATACTGTATAATGTATAATGTTCATGTTAAACTTGTCGATAAGGAAGCTCTTTGTTCCTAATTTCCTGCTGTAAGACTTACAGCAGTTGACAGCTTAAAAGCCTTGTTAAGGTTTAAATAGCTGATCCAGTGTCAGCATCAATTTGGTCTTTTTAAAGATGCATTTAGCCCATTATATTTCAAAGTGAAATAATGTGCACATAACACTTAAAGTATTTTAAAAGCACCATTTGTGGTAAAGACGTTTGAATTTAATGTGGATTTTCTCATAAAAAGACAAGGATCCAGATATTTAATATGCTGACAAATGTTAGTGAGTTCCAAGGATATTCCAAGCTATTTGTTGCCTTCAACAAGGTCCAGCTTAAACTCTAGCGTCGCATAACAACTAAAGCTAGAGATCAGTAAAATATATTTTCTGGCACAGGTGGCTTTTATACAAGGACTTAATTTTGATTGGTGAGTTTGATGCCATTTTAGAAGCCTAATGTTTTGATAGGCCCTGCGATGGACTGGTGACCTGTCCAGTGTGGACCCCGCCTCTCGCCCGTAGACAGCTGGAGATGGGAACCAGCACCCCGCTTTAGGTCACTTTAACAGGTAGTTCACTATTAGTCGTAGGGAAGCAGCTGTTCCAAACGTTGCATTTCCAAATTTTCCCAAGTGGTGCCCGACTTTACACGAGTGAATGAAGTGAATGTAATTGGTCGTTTATCAAGGGGGCGGGATTGTTGTGGTGGAAGGTTCGTAAGCAGTTTGGTTGTGGCCTGTTTATCTGAAGCATCTTGCTAACCAGTTAGCAACTTAGTGCTAGTAGGTTTCCAATGGGAAATTCCATTGTGACCAAGTAGCACTAAATGGGTGACTTAGAAACGACACTGTCAAGGAACGCTATGGACAGAGGAAACATGCAAGAGGAGGAGAGTTTAGTGTCGGAGGTCGTGGATGAGTCTCCTCCGTCATCCATTTTTTATTTAGAGGAGGAAAGCGGGGATGAAGATGTTGTGGAAGATGACGCCAGGGCGGCAGAAGCTTGGTTTGGTGTAGAAGGCTTCCAGCCGTACATGTTTGAGCCCTTGCCTCGCAACGCTGCCAGTTCTGTTAGCTCTACGCCTGCCGAAGACACAGACGTCCATTTCAACCGTTGCGTATATTAGCTGCGACATATGAATCAAGATGCTATGGCTGAGAGATTTCATTGACAGATGACCATTGATATATGATTGAATTTAGGTGTTCAAGCTGACGTATAACTAACTGGCCTGCATAAGATAACAAAACCTCCCCCCACAGATTTTAAGACAGGATTTTTATTTCAATAGAAATTTTCTACATTTTGGGACAATATAGTCTTTTACAGAGTACATTTATATACACGTTTAGGCCAGAAGGATTTGACATTTAAATATGACTTCCCTACAACTTTAAGACTATGATCCAGTTATAATGCTACTGATGAAACAATCAACCCAACTCTGAGACTAGGTGTCCTAATATTTCTCCTCACTAGCAGAAGACATATAAATTCCCTCTACTACATCTGAAGAAGAGTTATGGTCCCCTGAACATTCTGAACTAAACAGCAACCCACCTGAATCACACTGAGTTAAAGGTCTCTCACTTTATCTGTAAGCTAAATCCCTTTTAGCTGATTTCCTTTTCTCAGCTCAGGTCTAAAGTAAAATGCATGCCAACATACATGGGAAAATGCACAGCTTGGTCCACATGAAATCCTTTAGTGATAGCCAACACTTTAAGGTATAATAAATCCAAACACTGCATCCTTTCACAGACTCCTGATTCTTACTGCATCTGAACGGTTGTAGATCCTTCACTTTAAACCTTGTAATAACTTTGTAATTAGCATCTCTCCCTGAGAGTTAAGGGGGAAGTTTGCCTGGCTGTCAGGTGCCTGTCACAGTTAGATAAACTTTCTATCTTTCTTCAAGCTGAAATCAATTCTTAAGTTCATCATCTATGTTCTGTTTGGAAATATTTCCTTTTAGGTTTTCACTGCCTGTTTTCCAAGTCATTTCCTCTTGCTGAGAGTGTAGAATGGGTTGAATGCAACGCTAATGTTTCCACCAGAAATCCCACACCGTTGTGCTTCTGTGCCTTTTATATTTCTCAAAATTGCAACTTAAAGACAATCTGATTTTGATTTTTTTTTCTTCAATCGAGTCAGGATTGTGCATGTCTGTACCTCACTGCATAGAAAGCTGAATTTTTATCCTCTACCTCTAACATTAGGCATATTTTAGTTGAAACTATGAAACTGGGAAATAAAACAAAACTACCAACTATACAGCAGGATGGTGGGAGTATCATGCTGAGGGTTTGTTTTGCTACCAGGTTACTGTAAGGAGGACTACTTTCAAATTTCTGAACTGCAATTTTTGGTAGAAGATGGACAGTTGAGACTCTTGTGTCATCATCAGAAATATCTTTATCAAATATTCCTAATTTTTAGTTTCATTGCAACTTCAAAGAATGTTTTAACCATACATTAGTCAGAAAGTATATATTTGTGCCTGTATGTATATTTTTTGACCCACTGCAGATTCACAAATTTGAACTTTTGCGCTGAATTCTAATATCTTTACTCCAAGCTAAAAATGGTTCTAATGTGTCTTTAAAAGACCAAATCAAATTACCTCCAATGTCCTGGTGAGTGGATTTAAATCAACCATCTGCTCCGTCCCCTAACTAGATGTCCTGACCTGATATTAATATTGCAATTGGGCTGAGCGATTCATCAATTTCATTGGATGAGCAAATTTTTTGTTTTTGAAAATGTAATTTTAGGAAAATCTATATATATATATTTTTAACAG